TGTAGTTGTAGGACCATCCCCTCCCTCACCCCTAGTTTTTCTTCTTTTTTTTTTTTCCTCAATGCATTGCCTTTTTCTTATGGCTTCTCTTCTCAAACTTCAAACCTTTGCATTTATGTCTCTTCCCCAAGAATTAATTCATTAAACCAACTCTTTAAATAATGTGTGGGGAATTTTCTTTTAAAAGAATGCAAATTACTCACTTTCTTGTCATAATTGGTTCACTTAACTACTTTTGATTTCATGCATATTTGAGATTAAAAAATATATATATTATGATTCAAAAACGGAATGGAGAATATTTGTACCTATAATTTCGAGGAGAGATGGTTAATATATTAACAAATTGAATTAAAGCAAACAAGTTTTTTTTTTTTACTCAAGGGGCATTAAGTGGAGAAATTTTGGATTTTTCATTTTACCCATTTTTAAGTAGTGCTATGTTATTATAAATACATTATCTTATAATTGCAATATTATTTAGGTTGTAATTTTTTTTAGTTCAATAATAGGTGTTTGGTGTTGGCAACAATTAACATATTTCTCCGGATCCCACATTTGTTTCAAATTTCACAATGTCTTCTTTCTTTATTTATTTTTGATTTATCGAATCTCATTCTTTATTTTGCTTTGGAACTAAAGAATATGAGACTGAAAAGTATGAAATTGAAATGTTTGTGTTTGGATATAATATAGAAATGAGGTCGACGAAAACTATATACGGTAGATCCATCGTCTTATATACCCATAATCACGACAACGGTACCAATCGTATAATGATATGATATTTGTCTGCTTTGGGCATAGCCCTCACGGCTTTACTTTTGGTTTCACCAAAAATGCCTCGTACCGATGGAGATAATTGTCCTATCTTATATACTTATATATTTATGATTACCTCCTTCCGTGGTCAATGTGAGACTTTGTTTGCATTTCTCTTACAAATTAAAAATTCATAACATCCTCCTAATGGTTTAAATTTGGGGAATGAAGCCCAAGACATTTCACAAGTCCACTGTGGTCTAGATGGCCCAGCCCAATTCAAAAGTAGCAGAGCCCAGTCCATGGGGGGCCAATCACCCACGCAATTGTGTGAAGTGACGAAGGTTGAAAAAGATCTTTAAAAAAGRGAATTTGTACTTTTTGTCTATTTGGTCCGAAGAATTAAAAAGTGAACCATTTTAGYCTTGGAGGTTCGTAAAATAGTTCTAAATGGTTCTGAAAATACCTTGACCATTAATTGACTAAGGTTAAGATGGTATATCAATTAATTAATTGACTGCATAGTGTTGATTTAGTAAAATATATTAAGTTAATAATATTTTTATCATGATTGAATTTTCTATTTTCCGTTCTTAGAAAAAAAAGAACTTTCAATTAACACAATGGAAAGCCATAAAAATATATTAAATTGATATTTTTTTTTGCTAAATCAACAATATTCAGCTAACAACGTAAACACCACATCACTCTAACGTGAGTTAACAAACAATCAAAGTATGTATGAGACCATTTAGAACCATTTTACAAATTTCATCAATCAAAAGTCTCTATTTTGAAACTTATAGACACTTGTTCCAAAATTTAAGAACTAAAATGTATTTTACTCCAAATAATAACAATAATAATAATAATAATAATAATAATAATAATAATAATATATTATTATTATTATTATTATTATTATTATTATTATTATTATTATAGGTTAGAAAGAGTATCATAACTATTAAAAAAAATTAATCCATAGTTTTCTAAGAAATAAAAAGATTAAAAAATACATCTCTTTTTAATTATAATTGGAATTTTATATTAACAGTAAATATATGAAAATATTATAAATTGAAATGGGTGCACTGATGAAGAAGATGAGATGGATCAATATTTTATTTTCTCCTAGAATAATAAATGTGTAAATTTGTAAATAACAACGTAAATTTTAAAAAGATTAAAAAATATATCTCTTTTTTAATTATAATTGGATAAATTGAAATGGGTGCACTAATGAAGATGATGGGATGGATCAATATTTTATTTTCTCTTAGAATAATAAATTTGTAAATAACAATGTAAATTTTACTCGATAGTAATTGACGATCATGAAATTCAAATTTCCCTATTCCATTTATTGTATTAAAATAAAAAAGACTAAATATTTATTGTAAAATAATTATAGGATAACTTATGTATCGACATATAAAAATCCCTTCCTTTTTCGTGGATTTCTAAGAACGGCTAAGGCAAGCGAAAAAATGATNGAAATTATTATTTTCCTTGAAAGAAATTATTTTTCAAATGTACATCTTTTGAAATCTTGATATTGAAAAAGATGTGTCGTTTACCGTTTTCCGTTCCCGCAGGTAGAAGGTGGGTTGGCGCCGGCGGGCCCCACTCCGATTCCAAATCGGAAAATCCAACCAAATTAAATGTAAAATAAAGGGAAAATTTTGGCGTTATTTTGAAAAATAGAAAAATGCACCAATTTATTTCTCAGATCTTTCAAAATGGCCTGGCCCCCTATGTATTTTATCTTGGAAATAAAAATTATTCGCTTTAATGTAAGAAATTTTTACTTCTCGTCACTTTATTCGATCTTTTTTTTTCTTTTTAATCTAATCCATTTTTCTGTCCTTGTTCACTTTGTATTCTCTCTCTTCAATTATTTTCTCTCTCTAATGTTTATAGGAAAAAAAACATATAAACAAACATCGACGAAATAAAATGCATTGGACATTTAGATGTGCTAAATTCTTCAAGAGGGGGAAAAGAACTAAGATGATAAAAGACACGAACTATTCCWTATAAATATTGACTTACAATTTTAAATGATAAAAAATTATATGAAAAAAATAGGGTTACGGTTCTACGTACATTTTAATTATCATTATTTTTATTCATCTTTATATTTGGGTTATTTCAACTTTAGAGAAGTTATTATTGTATCTTAACTGATTAAATTATATTGAGACTGACTTATATACTTCTTCTAAAAGAGTTATGATAATCCATATGTTTCGATTAAAATATATCAAATATTTATGTCATTAGTGRGGTAGTAATAGAATTCTAAGATAGGAAATAAGTTTTTGTGAATCCAACTGATGAAATTCCATAATATGATATTTGGGGGCTAAACTATATTTTGATTGAAACATAAGTATATTTGAATTTTTTTCATCACTTTGTTATGGAATATGTATTAGAGTTTTGAAAAAAAAAAGGATTTAAAGTAGTGTACAATTTGTTCTCCAGATTCTTACTTTCRATTGTGTTTAGAGATAAGGATGATTGACTTTATGTTCGAGAGTGTCTCACTTTTGGTATCATTTTCTCTCCTTTTATCCTAACCGGTCCTAAGTAGAATAAAGCACATAAATTACGAGTGAAAAATCGTGGTCCCAAGAGCATATATAGAGGCTAAAAATAATTTACTCRATTTGCATCRTGTAGACATACACACGACTCATCAATCTAAACAAAACTTAACGATTAGGATATTTCTACACGTTCGAAACTTCACCAACGTATTTGCAATGTAATATTCTAAGAAAAATCGTATAGGATTCGAAACTACTCCCAATATTACAACTTATAGGTAATTAAAACTTGACCCAGAGCAGATAAGGATCAAGTGACCTGAATCCAAAAGGACCAAACCAACCCCAATGACTAAAATCTGAGCAAAATAAATGATTAATAATAATGATGGGAGTTAGTTGAGTGGAGTTAGTCAAATCGAAGCTAGAGAAAAATATTTATTTTAATAATAATAAGTGGGTGGGAAATCCAAGTGAATATATTGAGGAGAGGAGAGGAGAGGCATTTGATAGAATCAGACACATGATCTCCCATGTGCCCTTCTTTTCTTTGATCCCTAACGATAATTTTGTCTTAGTATGTGCAATATTTTAATCTTCATAATTTGTAGTGATAAAACAGTCCAACATTTTGTTTAAAAATTATGCCCATTCTATCAGCTATTTTATCTTCTAATCTCATCTTAAAAGAAAAAGGCATTTTTGAAGTCTTGAAAATTAAAAGGGTAATTTTTAAAAGGCGTATAACTCAACAAACAAAATATAAACATGAATAGAAATTATAAACTTAAATTTTGAAAAGAGAAAAATAAAAATAAAATCATTATCAAATAAGACAGGAGGCTTCAATTTTATATTTAGATTAATTTGAAGTTTTGGAACAATTTTGAAACTTACTACTTTAAGCATTCATTAGCCTTTTTGACATTTAGGGATTACAAAATAATTTGTAGGGAATAATTAGCCTTGGAAACTTTTTGATTTCTTTATCCTTATCTGCTAATTTTTTTTCACCCCTTTTCTGTTTCTTTATTAGATAAAATCTCTTCATTTCTTTAATATTAATTATATTGAGTAGATGTTTACCAAAATATTGTGATAGATGAATCCTACAAGTTACACATTTTATAAACCCCTATTATAGTAAAATAATGTTTCTTAGAATCTACTTTTAAGAAAGTAATTTGCACGTCGCCATCACATAATAATTTTATTATTATTTTTTTTTAATTTAGACATTCAATGGGAGTCTCAAATTAGCTAAATTTTATAAGTTGAATTGTCATCATTATTGGTTATCTAAATAAATTTGTATATGTGGAAATGAGTGAGGAGATTAATTTTGGAAAATCCTTTCACTTTAAATTTTGCACTAAAATAAACTTAAAAAATGAACTTTAAAATTCTAAGTTACTACTCTAAAGACTCTTTAGTCTCGTCCTATCGATACGGTTGGTAGAACTAAGATAGACCCATCATGAAAAAAGTTGCATAACACCGATACGACTATTTTATACAAGTTAAGATCTTCTCCTCTACTAAAGTAATTGTTAATTTACTTCTAAAATAATTGGTTACATCATCTTTTCCAAAGTCTTGTATCTAATCAGAACCTTTGAAAAATATCTTTATGATTCTGAAGCCAAACCTACCAGACTGAAAGCTCTTATATTTATCTATGTGATTATGAAATGACTAGAAAACAGTAAAATACCTTGTAAATTAAATATCTTTTAAATGGGGAAAAGGAAAGGCATTATAATCTTAAAACCATATGATCCAACCTAGGACATCAAATCTTACCCAGACAAAGCTTTTGGCTGGAACATTTGCCACTGGCCCAAACAAAACCAAACTGACAGCTTACTTCAACTTTTTGAAGTTAAAAGCAAAAATAGAAGAAGAGTAAGAGAAAGAGAAAGATTTGGTGTTCAGAATCAGCATTTATTTATATCGTCTAATCTCTTCATTAGTTGGGGATCAGGTACCATTACAGCGCAGTAGTCTCAGTCTCTCTTCTTCCAAAATATCTCTTATTTGTAAAAATACAAAATTTTTCATCAATAATACAACCCCATTTCCTTTCCAATTATTGTATCTCCACCCCCTTTTTTTTGCTGTTAATTTTCTTGGCCATAATCCCAATTCCCCAACACAGCTCTCTCTTCCTCTTCTTCTATTGAAATACCCCCCCTCACCCAATTTTCTTCTTCCTCTGTTTGGCTAAAGGGGAAATCATTGTGGGACTTGTTCTTACCGGGGGATTGATTCTGGTGAGGCTGAAAGTTTTCTGTTCTTTTGATGTTTTCCCCTGATTCTTCTCAGGTGGTCTGCTATGGGAAACCAAGCTTTTTGCAGCCATGGATACTATTCTTTGGCCTGTCCTTGTGTTTTTGGGTTTTTTGTGACCAGTAAGACGCTTTGAAAGGTTTTGTTGGAATCCTAAAATCTGTTTCATTCAACTCTCAAAGGGTCATCATTCATCGTCCTTTCTAATTGAAGGCAGATCAGGAAGAATCGAAACAAAGCTTCCCTTTACAATTGGGGTCAAGGTCCAGAGAACAGAGAAGACTAGGGTTTGATTGCTAAATGAGTGAGATGAATTTTCTACTTTCAGTTACTTTCGTGGTTCGATTTGCTCATCAGAGAGTTATAGTTATGGGGTTATGAATCGTCAAACTTCTCTGCGGAATTTCATCAAACAGGTTTAAGATCTAGTGTGTGCAGCGGAAGCAGAAATTACCTTTGGGGAATCAATCGCGTGTTTCGTTTTGAGGTAGTGAGCAGCTCCTATGGCGATGGCGTCCGATCACCACCGTCACCGTCCCCACCGCTTCCTCCTCGACGGCGACGCGACGGCGCCGCCGTCGAATGGAAACAGAACGCGAAGTTCGTACAGCAACGAAGCGAATTTCGACACGAATATGGTGATAATCCTCGCGGCGTTACTCTGCGCGCTGATTTGCGCTCTCGGACTGAATTCGATCGTCCGCTGCGCCCTCCGCTGCAGCCGGCGGTTCGCCTTCGAGACGGCCGGCGGCACATCCACGCGCCTCGCCGCCACGGGGCTGAAGAAAAGCGCATTACGCCAAATTCCGGTGGCCGTGTACGGGTCGGAGTCTGGTCTAGAGATCCGAGAAACGGACTGCCCTATTTGCTTGGGAGATTTCATCGCCGGCGAGAAAATCAAAGTTCTGCCCAAATGTAACCACGAGTTTCACGTACGATGTATCGACACGTGGTTGGCTTCCCACTCGTCTTGTCCGACATGTCGTCAGTCGCTGCTCGAACAACAGTCGTGTTCTGAATCGGCGGTAGCTGAAGCCGGAAACCGACCCGCCGGAAATTCGTCGGCCGGCGGCCAAGGTGAGATCTCGATTACTGTAGATGAAATTAGCTGATTTTAAGCGTTTGCATTTCATTTGCATTTGCACATAAATATTCTTTATTTCTTTTCAGATTTTTAGTTTTAGCTTCTTTTTTTTGTAATAATCCGAATTATAATATAATTAGTAGCTGCCTTTATGTATAATAAATAAATAACAAAGTAATCAATTTGAAAATTTTAGRTTTAGATGAGAGCTCATGCATGCCATTTTGAATCTTTTGCTTCAATATAGCACAATAGTTTCAATCAATAAAGATAGAAATTTTGTTTCTTCAAAATTCCATTTCTTTGTTCAAATCCTTTATATTTTTAAAGTACAGATGATGTTAGAGAAGTTGGCATTGTTTGTTTTTTCAATTTCAATTTGCACCTCAAATTATCATGATAGGCTCTTTTTTTTTTCAGTAACAAATTACGAAACTTGTGAAAACTCATAAAAGACAAAATAATTATACCATAACGTACTAATGCATGAATAGAATTCTGATATAAATAGTGTTGAAAATTATAAAAATAATATTTTCATGTTTGGAGTATTTTTAGATTTTTTTTTAATTTCAAATTTTAAATTACAGAATTACATATTTTTTTAATAAATATATCAACTCATTTTATTTTTATTTTCATTTTATTTTTAGATTTAAACTTAGTTTCTATTTGGTCCTTAAATTTCAAAAATGACGTATTTGATTCTTGAAGTTTGAATTTAGTTTTTAATTGCTTCCTGATGTTTGAGTTTGATTTCTACTTAATCATTGAGGTTTGAGTTTGATTTTTAATTAATCCATGAGTTGAGAACAATTACTTGAATTAACGGAATGATGATGTCATAATTAACATATGTTGATTAGACATGTTGTTACTTAGGCAAAATTGAATGAAGAATCTAACAAAGGTCAACTAAGGGTCAACTTAATTGACCCTTAACTCATGAATCAATAACAAATCAAATTCAAACTTTATTGACCAATTAAAAACTAAATTTAAACGTGAGAGACTAAACATGTCACTTTTGAAATTTTATAGACCAAAATGAAACTAAATTTAAATCTCAAGGACCAAAAATTATGGTTTTTTAACTCAAAAAACCGAAACTAAGTCTAAACATAAACCACCAAATTGTATTTTACCCTATTTTAAAATAAGAAATCAAATGCATTCAATTAAAAACATAATTTTTTAGTTTAAATATTGTACTCTATTTGGTACATTAAAATAAATAATATCGTATTGATTAGTTTAAATATTTATAATACAAAAAAAGGAAATTAGCCATTTCAATTAAAAACTTCATTCTTCCTAGTACAAGATGAAGAAAAAACCACAAACTTTTTTTTTTTTTCGAGTACAACAGTATAACTTCCAATTGATTGGCGAGTTAGGGGAAATTTGACATAATTTAAGATGAGTCACATCCTTAATAAATAAATAAATAATTAGTACATAGAAATTGTGGTAGAATAGGGGTTGTACAATTAATTGAATTTAATGTAGTTTGGTGAGCAGAAATGTGTCTTTTATAAGCTATGATTTAATAATTAGGAATATGAAAAATGGCATCATGGGGCCCACACAACAAAAATGGAAGCCAATCAATCATGGAGTTTACTGATGAAGAAGGGGAATTTCCAACCACACCCTTCTCGACCTCTCTTAGCCAAAGGAGAAAGGCAAAATGCTCAAGCAACATTAAAATGGACCATCTTGCCATGCATGCTTTGGATTTTTGTAAATTTTTAATGTTCTTTGTTTAAAAGATACCCAAGTCTCTAAAAATAGTAAAAAAAAAAATATTAAATTTTAATCTCCTTCTAGTTACATAAAACTTTTGTAATTGGGTTGTTTTAATTTAATTTAGAAAATACTTGAGTCCTCGAGGATCAATGTCTCACAGTCCTTAAATATTTGACGATTAATAAAGAAAAATATAAAGATATAGATTTTTTTATAAAAAGTAATAAGTTTTCAATTTTTCAACGGGACGAGGATAAGATTTGATCATCACTATTGAGAAGCAAGTATTTTTCATTTAATTTTAGTTCCAAAGATGACATTTATTTGGATCTGTTATTAAACTTTCAAAATATTTATCTTAGTTGTTGAGATTTTTTTTTAAAAAAATGATTCTTTTAAGCTATTATATAATGTGAAGTTGAAGTTCAAATCATTACCATTCATATATTTATTGTACTAAAAATTACTATACGGTCAATTTTTGCATTACTCAATATCCAATTGGATTAGTTTATATAGCTTCAATACATACTCACATCTTTAAAAACAAAAAAATTAATAATAATAAATACATACCCACGTCACAATTCACATTTTAAGGTTCATACACTGAATAAACATTTCAAAAGTGCAGAGCTACTATACATTACAATTTAAATAATTATACAATATACTAAGAATTATTTAAAAGTTATTTTTATTTGCATGAACAAAAATTTTGATTTATTCAATGGGTTGAATGACGAACCCCATGATAAACAAAATTTGTGGAAATGGCAAAATTTCTCGAAAGACTCATTATTGAGTCATTCTCTCCATGAATGGGACAAAGCCAAGTACACCACAGTTCTTGTACTTATTAAATTTTGGCCATAGAAAAATTTGTGCAATTATATAATTGTAAAACAATGCTTCATTCTAAAACGTGATTTATTAAAAGATAAATCAATGCTGTTGAGTGTTGCTCGTGAATCTTTTAAAGAGGAGAAATTCGTTCTATCGTGGATTTAATTTGAAAAATATATTTTTATAAACAATTAGGATATTTTTTTTTCTAAAGCGATTAAAAAAACATCATYGTTTACTTCCTAAGTTGTTTTTCAAATAATGCCTTAAAATGACAGCAGACCATTGAAATATTACACTTGATTGGTAAACTTTGCATTAATAAGAAATATTTTAATTATTCTTGTCATTTTCTTAAAATGTTATGATTGAACATAATATATATAATCTTTTATTCATTTGTCATARCTTAGTAAATTAGATTAACGTGCAGTTTTCTGCCCACGCGTGAAAGTTACAGTAGAAAAATATTTCAAGTCAAGTATGATGAGGTGGTTTTATGAGACAATTGTTTAGTATTTGTTGAACAATTAATAGAAAATTTACAATATGTAATAGAATAATCTTTTAAGCAAAGTTAAAAGGATTAAAACTGAAATATTTGAGAATTCAAGGGTTAAATAAAATAAATATAAAATTTAAGTCTAAATAAGATAACTCTTATTAAAAAAAAAAAAGAAAGAAAAAAGTGGTAGTGAGAGTCGAGAGTGGGCTTAATTATTGTGGTAAATGTTATTCCTAAACAATGATTTCATTTTACATTTTTGGGATCCGGAAGCATTTGAGTGCAACGTAAGAAAATAGGCAACAAGTTGTATCACTTTACATTTTAATTTAATCAGTGAATTGTAAATTTATATAAGCTTTACAATTCAATTTTCACTAATTTTCAATTACTAAATAACTTCGCAAAAACTTAAAATTAAAAAAAAAAAGACTATAATATCAATTTTGTCGGGAATATATCAATAAAATTTCAAGTAGAAAGTTAAGGTTAAAAATTGTAACACTCTTTTAAAATGAATATTGCAGCACTTATTTAAGTTTGAGTTACAATTTGATGAATTTATTACATTTAAAAATAATATTTTTCCTCTATCTTAAAAGATAAAAATCATGAAATTTGTTTCAATATTTGAGATAAAACATTTCACTGAAAATCATAGCTCAACCTTAATCGATATATATCTCCAATCCAACTAAAACACTATTTCTCACTCGCACATGTTGTACTAAAAAATTATAAAAAAAATCTCATCTAAATCATAGTCATGTTGGCAAAAATAATAGACTTCTTATATTTTTAAATGTTGTCTTTAATTTTTTCAAAAAGTTACATGTATTTATCAAATTAAAATATTTCATAGATTAATATTACTCAAGTCTCGTACTAAAAAAAATTACTCAAGTCTCCAATTGATTAAGTCGTTATTTTTTAAAGACTTTTCATGTACTTATAACATTTAAAAAGCTCCATTAGTTTTTTGTTATATGTTTAATTCGTTTCCAGAACTTCTCAGTATTCTCGAATTCAACAATTTTAAAAACAAATCTTTTGAATCGCAGGTAAATTAGAATAAGTTTGGCTTTTTTCAAATTCTATCGAGTTAAATGGATCATAGAGACTATTTAGAAGATTTATTTTTTGAAAAATATAATATTTCATATTTAAAGTTATTTTATTTTTGTTGAAATTAAAACCTATCAAATATAATTTTATAATTCTTCAATTTATATTAATATTATTTTAGATTTAACAAAATATTTAGTGGGTAACAACCACTAGTTTACAAACATATTATTAAATATCAACAACTTTTTAAATTGAGATTAAAAAACACTTAAAACATTGGTCTTTTTTTCGTATAATTTCATATGTTTTTGAAATTTACAACGAAATACAACGATGTTAATAGTAGTTATTCTTTGAAGCTATTTTTAAATAATTTTTTAAATTTGAATATAGTTTAATTGGTTATACCAAGATAAGTATACCTCTAACTGGTATAAGAAAAGAAAAGTTTTAATTATTTTATGTATTTATTTTTTAAGATTCTTGTGCATACTGTTTAAAACATCATTAATGAACTGTTCCCTATAAAAATAACATTTTTGTTACTATGTAACTAAACAGTTTATAAAATTGTAAAATATATTTATTGTTGTTTTCTTTTCCACTCTGGTAGTAAAATATCTTTAAATTGGCTAAAAAACGCTTTTTTAAATTACTATTATTCTAAGAGAAAGAGTCGTGTATTATTGTATTTTTAAAGTACCCACGTTTAAAGAATGGAGCCAGCCACCATTTTCATTTAATCTGTCACGAGTACTTCATTTAATTGAACCAAAATAATATTCCTTTTAGTTCAACCTCTTATCGTCTCCGGCCCGAAAAAGTGATAAATTTATAGGATGGGAAGATTCGACTACACGATCTTTTAATCAGAGATATATGTCTTAATCATTTTTGTTTATGCTCAAATTAGTATAATGATGTTATCCTATTGTCGTCCTATAAAAAATGCTTTTACTAATGAGACACTGATATCTTTTGAATTATCATCCTGAATTTATTTAGTGGAGAAAATAATGATTTAAGAATATATTGATAGATAAAAAGTACCTTGTTTTTTTAGACTATATTATTTTCCTTAACTATGTGAAATATTTTAATAGTAGAACTGTTAAAATTTATAAACATCTTTAATTTTATGAATTATTTTATGCTTATTATTTAAACAATTAGCTAGTTCAAGACCTATATCTACTTTCGTCAAGAAATATAACTAACTCATTTATGAAAATAAATATCAAGCAAACCTTATTAATAATCGGGAGTTGTGAAGAACGTTGAATAACATTTTTCTTCCGTCAAATTAATCTCAATATAGTCATCAATGTGTGTGTGTTTTACCAATGGTCAGAGGCTGAAAATGAACACTAACAAAGATTTAAACGTCGATGTCGATGGTCAAGAGACCCTAAAAAATTGTAAAAATATTTAAATAACACATAAATATTTTTACATTTATGAATAAATTAAAAATAATTAATATGAATATTATGTATATATTAGTGAGACATTTTTCATATTTCGTCCATTTTTTTATATTGTGATGAAAATGCTGATTTATTTTTCCCATATCAATATTGAACCTATAGTTCTATTGATATATCAATAAAATGCCACCATATCAACAAATGTTTAATACCTTGTGTAAAGTAATTTTACGTTCAAAATCATTTTCCATTTCCATAACCTACACATCCCTGCTCATGAGTCAGCATTGGTATACTGACGTGGATCTAGAACTGATTTGATTGGCCAGGATTCACAGAAGGCATACGCCACGGTGCGTGGGGGCATCAGACCTCCATGCAGATTCCTCATGCCACCGCGTGCCATGTCAGCAACCCATGAATCAACGGCCACGATCGACAGTTTCAAACTTTCATTGCCTTACGTTTCCCAATTTTTTAAAATTCGCGTGTAAAACTCGTGGAAATCGCCCCGAGTCCACGTTCTTTTTCGTTGGACCTCGTGGCAGTTTCCACTCGGAACACGCCACAATTCCCTACACTCACCCCCACCGTAAAACCAATACTCATTCGACACCACGACACACCAAGGGCATAATCGTCACTTTGCCAAAGAACACGTGACCACTGATCGAACACAAATGCGGTTGCATGGTAATAAAAGGAGACGACCCGCAGGGACTCAAAACGAAAGTGGAATTCCGCTGGGGAAACGAGACTCGGAGCCGACGAGTTTAAGACTCAGAGACTTTTCGAACGAATTTCCATATCATTAGAAGAAGAAAAGGCATTCCAATTTTGACCAATTAAACGTCTAATTTTTTCCGATCGTTTTCGAGTTTCTCGATTGGCGTTTATCTTTTATGAAACGGATTTAATCTCATCGATTATTATCCAAATCTCGTTTCATCCATACTCGCCGCGGAATTCTTAAACCACCACCGTCTTCTTCAACCACAATCGTTTTCGATCCAAGTGAAGGCCAATTGCTCTGTTCGTGCTGTCTGAGATTATCGGATGGCTTCCTTAGGAATTCGATGTGGAGGAAATTGCGGTGTATTGGACCGTCCGTATGTCAATGTTCACGACGGATGTTGTGATCAGAAGGCCGGTCCTCGCTCTTTGGTGGTTCCTACCGGAAGCGGCGCGAGATGGAGGAGATCGAGGAGATTCGTATCGGCGATGACGAGTTTGCAGCCGGTGAATAGGCGAGGTAACGGCAATGAGGTTATTTCGCGCGATAAACTCGATGAATGGATGAAGGAATCGGTTGTTGATATTGTCAAGAATCTTCGAGAAGCGCCTCTGTTCTTGCGGTTTTACACGACGGAGGACGGTGAGGCGGCGAGATTCGAGACGGAGAAGGCGGTGGAGGAGAAGCGTTGGCCGGTTTTGGAGGAACAGTGGAAGAACGGAGCGGCTCCGATGCCGGAAGGCATCTTGTTCGTTCAAGAGCTAGAAGACGACGATTACGACGAGGACGCTGACGGCGGCGGCGGCAATGGAAGCAATATCGCCGGCGAATCGAAGGCGTGGGGAATCGTAATACAAGGAAGAGGCGTAGAACGTGGAGGGCCGGTGTGTTACTTGTTGAAGACGAGTAGTGCGGCGGGGTTGGGACTGTGGTGCACGCATTTCTGTCTGGTTAGGGTTAAGAATTTCAGAGAGACGACCAAATCGCAGCTCGAGAATTGCTGGTTGCTGCAGAATCAGTAAGACGTAGATAATGCCGATTGAATTGTGAAGTATAATTACACTCATAATCTCGATTAAAATTCAATACTAAAAGACTCTGTGAATTAATGATTCGTAGCATTCTTGATTTCTCACAAGTTCTCGTTATTCTGATCTTTTCTTTTTCTTTTTCTTTTTCCTTTTCGTTCGCCATTGATGTTTGAAGTTAAGCATTTAGGTCGTTTTTCCCCAAAATTCTTGGGATTTCTTATCTCTCATGGGGATTCATGAACGAGAAAGTGAGGGAGAGAGAAAATATTAAATTATATCTAATTCTTATTAATAATTACTGTATTAATCATACTTATTTTGGAGAACAATTAAAACTATTGTTTATCAGTTTCTTTATTCCATAGCAACTTTTGAAATTGGCTTTCCTTTTAACATTTGGGAACAAAGTTTTAAAAGATTTTTCAAATAGTATCTCTATCTTGCAAATTAGATCCATCTATTAAATACAAAATTAAAAAATTAAAGATATAATAGATGTTAGACTTTGAAGTTCATGACTAAATTTATAATCAAACTAATAAATATTTAATTTAAATTGCTCTTTATTAATTTTGCGATAATTGTAAACTAGATCATTTTTTATTTTAAGTAAACTATATCAATAGATTAATGAACGGCTGGTTTTTTTGTTTTGTTTTCGTTGCTAATACGTCATAAAAGCAAGTAGCTGTATTAGTTTACTTAGTTAACAATCATTGAAGTCAACGGAGTAACTTTATTTATTCTTAAATTCGCATTTAATACTCGTTAATTAAAGTTCATTTATTTTTATTTCTTGTTTTTGTTTTTGTGGAATAATTTTGGAGATTTCTGGAAATGTTAATTTGTGGGAGATTTGCTTTTTGGGAGGGGAATTTGCAATTTAGGGAGATTTTTATTCCTCAAATCACACATCTCACAGATAAAATAAGATTTTTTGTCGAAATAAAAATTAAATTTTATTCTTCTTCGGGTCAATAGACATTTCTCAAGAGAGTGCTGTTTTTTAGTCACTCCTTTCAAAACCTATGTTTCTGGTGACATCATCCTGGATACCAAATCAAGATTTTTTTTTTCTTTTTTGGAAAGGAATTTTTTTTAATTTTTTTTTTATCATAAATAACTTCTTCCGAGGCTCAGAAGTTGTTGTGCCTTTGCCACACTTTATTTGAACCAAAAAATGAAATGACTATTATGAGTTATTTCAAACTAAATAATTCTTCCTCTTGCATATATATTTTGAAAATTTTTATGACATATAAGTTATTTGAAAACTTAATTTAAAAGAAAAAAAACAAGGTCCATTTATATTAAATTATGTCATATATCTATTTTTCGAGAGACTGATTTTTTCTTTTTCTTGGTGATATGTTTTTAGAGACTGACTTTATTAATCCATTTCAACCTAAACTCTTTTCTTCAAAAAAAAAAAAACAAACTTACCCCCTTAAAGTCTCTTAAATATTTTCTTTTTTATTATTTTACACGAATCTATTTCAAAACAATAATAAAATTTAAAAAAGCGTTAGAAACCTTGCAAAAGGGTGCTTTGAGAAGTAGTTCCATCACGCCAAATCTTTAAGCTACCAACCTGTAAAATATGGTTGGGATAATTCGAAATATTTTTATAATTCGTATCTTATTCACCAATTTTTCATAAAAGAAGCAAATTAATGAAATTTAAGATCGCCGGCACCGATAGGAGCGGTTGCCGTCATCTTTGCGACTGAGAAATGCCAATTTTAATAGGAAAAAAAACGAAAGAAAATGAATTATCAAATAAATCATTTAAAAAAAAGTATAATTTTTTAAAAAACAATTTGATAATTAATTAACTGCGTTGCGCCGGTCGGACTTCGTCGTCTCTCCGGACGTTACGAAGACGGAAGGAAAGAGACTTCACAATTACAGATTATAGACCTTGCTCCGGCGGACGCACCTTGCATTTTCCTCGTTGACTTTGACTTTTCCCTTTGACGACTTCTTCTTCCTTGTATTCTATTTTTCTCGTTGAATTGAAATCTTCCGAAATGTGAATGTGGTGCGTTTTCGCCTTCTCCAATTCATCGCGCTTCTCCTCGATTCGGGAGTCGTAGAAAGGCGGCAGATCTTTCGCGACCATGAATCCTCATCTGCCGCTCCTATTCGCCTTCTTCCTTCTCATTCGCGGATCCGATGCTTCTTTCCCCGACGACCATTTCCGATTCGCGCTTTCGGAGGTTTCTCCTCAGGTTTGCTATCTTGCTTTAGAATCTTCGATTTTCTTGATTTTGATGCAACTTTTGGATTGCGGTTGACTTTGAAGTTTATATTTCGCCTCTTCGTTTTGTTAGAGTAAAGCTCCGGCTCCTGGTCCTGGTCCTAGCTCTGTTACCAATCGTAAATTTAGTGGGGGTGCCCCAAAAAGTTCCCCAACTCCGGCAATTCCGCCATTTACCAGTTTAGTTGATGGCTTTACTACCGAGAAGTGTAACTCGTCATACAATACTTGCCACGACCTTGAGAATATGACTGCTTGCCTTCTGTTTGCAGAACATGGTAACTGCGTTTTTCTTCTTTCGAACTCAGCTTTTAAATCAAGCTTGTGATTTGAGAAATTATTCCTATGATGTTTTCTGCTCATTGCTTACTAAAGTTGGTTTTTGTTTACTTGATATGCATTCTTCTGTTGTCTTTCCCAAATAAATAAATGCATCTCTGTTGACCAACGATAATATGTAGTTATTTTGCTGATAATAGTGCCTCTTGTATTGTGACTGCGGTTACTTTTAGTTAGCCTAGCAATTAAGTCAGCTTTGGTTGGAATCAGAAGCTAGTAGCTGTGGAGAATATTTTTCCAACTTTCAGCTAATGGTAAATGTCTACATTAAGATCAGCTAATGGAAAGATCGAATAGAAGCATTAAAATCATTGGACCCAAAAATGATGGGAAGAGAGGGGGACTGCAGAGCATACTGTAATTAGTTTCAAAACATTACAGTCAATCCACAGTAGGGTCTTGTGCATGAGGATGTCATTAGTGAAGAACTTGCTGGTCTGAATTAGGCAATCCCTCGACACCATTCAACAATCCTTTCAATTACTGGGTGTTAGTTTGTCTGAATGGACATGCACGTTACTTACAGGAGAACAAATGTGACGGCAGAGAAGAGGATGACTACCTTTTCTTCCGCAAAACAATCAGAATCGAGGGTGGCAACAAGCTGCCTATCCATATCCATGATATGTCTCCATGATTCTCCAATTCAACTACAATGCGATGGATCCAACAGATTCCAATCTTGTATATGACATGGTTCATTCTTGGGACTCACATGCATAAGTGGATGAGGGAAAGATTTTACTTGTTCATCATGACTAGTTACTGTATGAAGCACATTGAGATAGCTAGCAGGACGTCTTTAATGTAGACTAATACATAGAGGAGTTCTATTGGCTTAATGCCTGTTATAACCTTGCTGATTCAATGTTCCAAAAAGTTGCTCAAGATCATGTATTGCAAACAGGAATTCAGGAATGGATGGACCTACACCTTGTTGACTCTTAACAGAGGCACTGCAACTAGAAAAATTGACAGATAATTAAGTAGAGGCAGTTGTTGTCACGTTGTTTTTTGAAGCTGCAAAATGAAGTTACTGAACAGTGAACACATATGAAAACAGATATTGCTATCAACGATAGGATACTAATGGAATAAGCCCCGCCTAATCCTCAAGGTAAAATTAAAATTAAGCCGAGAGGATAAAACTAAAATGGTGAAAAGCATGGATTCAGAGTAGTAGATAACTTACAGCCCTTATTCATGTACCAAAATTGTGAAGTATTTCAGGTATGGACAAAAGGGATGGTTTTTAAAGGTCATTTAACAAGGATAAAGAAGTGGAGGGAGAAGTATTTTATCCAAAAATGTTTCAGGAGATAGTAGTCGTGTAGTTCAAATATTACCTTTGACACCCAATGTAAGTTCTCACCCTCTTAGCCACTCAATCTTATGAACTTGATGCATCGTTAATAGTCAGGTCTGTAATATCATTATTGTAATGGAAGCAATACAAATTTCATTTCAAAGTCATTATTGGTTTGTACATTTTTAGTTGGATCAAAGGAGGTGGTGAAATTTTCCTTGAGGAAACTATACCGTCCATTATCAAGTAGGAATGCTTATAATGCTTAAGTGATATGAAATTTGATTGATATGGATTTTTTCCTTATTTATTAGGCTTCCAATGGTAGTGACGTGCAAACTATTCATAGGGGAAGAAAGAATATAAGCAAATTTATCGGTTCAGGTGATATTAGTAAATTAACAATGTTACCGAGTGTAAATTTTGAATCAACCAACAACATCCCCGGGTCCCCAGTAATATATAGTTTCATTGTTAGACATGTTTTTCCTCCAAGTACTTCTCAAATTTGAAATATTTGCTCAGAATAGTGATTAAAGCCTTAAAGGTTGTATGGGAAGTTGATAAGAACCAACTAAACCGACCAGATTGCAATGTAAGTATAGCTTTCTAATAATTAGGATCAGGATATGCATCGAAGGTTGGCCCCTACTCGGAATTACCGTTAATGGCAAGCTTCGGGGTTAGTAGCTTTTTGTTAGAAGTTTATTCGTGTTCCAGAACTACTTACTCCAATGATAGGCTACCCAAGGAAGAGTTTGTCGCTTCTGTTCTGCTGCCTTGAGAGCAAGCCTTTTGATTAATTTCAGGTGGATATCTCTTGTGTAGGATTGATGGATGCGTACGTACAAGAGCACCTACAAACAACAGTCATATACTCTAGCTTAGGCATTCAGTCATTTACCAAATGCCTTTCACCAAGATTCCAAAATTCCAAGGTCAATGGATAGGCTTCTTCGAAACTTCAACTTTGTGATGGTTTTACTGCTTATTTTGTGACTGATAAGATGTTAAACTTGGTTTCAACATGATTTTTCTGGCCTAGCTGCAAAGGGATGTGGGTAATCATGCGAGATTTTGTGCAATCTGTCAAAATTAGTAAAATGGCCAACTGCAAAAGACGAACCTTTGCATACCTTTGTCTATTCCTTCAGTTCGGTGCTGCTCTTCATGTCCTTTTCGTTCATGCTAAGCTTAACGGCCAGGAAGGGAGAGGTCGTGTAATGGAAACTGAAAAAACACCATAACCATGAGTGTTTGAGGCAAAACAAATACAAGTAGTTGTCTTCATGTGCTAGCGTAGTCCATTTATTTTAAACCATTTGATATTTTTACTTAAAACTGATTGTTTCTGTAATCTTGTTTCTACTTACCTAGCAGATATAACAATAATGCTAATGTTCTTCCAATACCAAGGATTATGTAGCTTATTCAGCTTCATTTTTTGTTGTCTGTTCATTTTTAAAAATTCCTTTCTGCTCTTCTGAACATCATCTCCACGCCATAGCTGTCTTCCAAATATTGAGATGTACTAAGTTCAAGCAATTTTATTAGGGTTGGGGATCCTTGTAAATTCATTGTAACTTTTATTATAGTCTATGTTAAGCTTCCATGGCCAGTATTGCTAAAAGACTGTTTTCTCACAGCGGTGGTGGAACAATATCTTCTAATCCAAAATGACGGAGAGACTTCTATGAAAGTGAACATTATAATTTCCAATGCTAAATACAAGGAGATAAAAATCCCAGAACATCATGCCAAAAAGGTACTTGTCGTTAATCTTTGCTGGATCTTCACGAGAACAGTTAACCTTTTTTTAAAGTAGGATAACGATCAGATATCTGCTACTCAAGGCAAAACAAAGATTTCTGAGACCGCCTCTTTGGTTTCAATTTTGAATTATATGAAATTTGAATCTATTGATTTTCGAATTCTACAGGGCGCACCTTGAGATTTATTTGTGCTTCATCTTTTATTTCAGGTTAATATTTCAGATGTTCCAGGAAATTCCATGATTACATTGGAAGCTGGAAATGGGAAGTGTATGATTCACGTAGGATTACTAACAAAAAGTGGCAGCATTTTAAAGAAGATCTCTTTCTATTTAAACCATTTGAACCTTGTTTCCGGATCCTACCTGCTATTTGCAATCGTTTTGATCATTGGAGGTGTCTGGGCATGCTGCAATATGGGAACCAAGGAACGGCATGCCGATGGAGTCCCATATCAGGAGCTTGAATTGGCAGAGCACGACTCTTCTCCAACCAACGATTTGGAAGCAGCAGAAGGATGGGATCAAGGCTGGGACGACGACTGGGACGAGTCGAAGTCTACCAATAAATCCAGTGCTCAAATGAAGGCAAACGGATCCTCAAACGGTCTCAACTCAAAAACTTCTGATAGAGATGGATGGGGAAATGATTGGGATGATTAAGAAAAGAAACAGGTCAGAATCTCCCCATACTCCTCAACCTTGAAAGGTCAGAAAAATTTACTGAACATAGCAAATTTTTTAGCAACAGAATGATGAAGGATAAAAATTCTGCTTCCCTCCCAACCATGTCATAGGGTAAAAAGCTGTGAGATAATTTTTGACTGTTCAGTTACAAGTGTATGCTTATGACAATAGATAGTTTTTACTTTTTTTCTTTGGCAGACAATAGGTCTCAGTTTTGCTCCTAGTAGAGCTGGAAATTGGAATTTGGAAAAGAGCAATAATTCAACTCTTTTAGTAAAGAGCATAGCAATGATAAGACTATTTGCTTTGTATTGTTAAGTGGTAGCGTGCTTACATAGATGAAGAGGGTATCATTTGGCCCCTCAATAAAGTGCAAACCAAAAGAGAAAAGGTTTTGAAGTGCCCAGTTTTTCCTTTTTTTTTTTTTTTTTGTTCCCCACTTTCTCATCATCCACTCCAAAGTTTGTTCATGATTCAATCTCTCAAATATTATTCTCCTCTCCACTATCTAACTCTATGGACTGCACTTGGATTTGAGATCTCAACATTTTAGTTCAAATTTCTCCTCACTCTAAATCTACTTCAATTCTCTTATAAATGTTATATAAACTAGATGCCAATTATTCCCAAGTTATAAATAACTAAGGGTCTCTTTGGTTGGCCATTTGGATTTCTTTTTTTCATTTCGAATTCACTGATTCAGTTAATATGGGTTTGGTCAGATTTAACATATTTGTTTTTTAAAACTATTTTCGAATTCTGGGATCGAAGTAGTGAAAATTCTAAAAATGATTTCAGTATTTTATGATGTAGAATTACATAAAAGATAAAAAGATAAAAACTTTGATAAATACATTATTTCAGGTTATATACTCATTTTATTTTTGTTAAAATTAAAACAGGTAAAATAGACTAAATTAAATATTTAGTTGGTAACTACTACTAATTTATAAATATAAGGCTAAACACACGTTGAAAACAAATAACGCAGGTCAATATTTTTGCAACCTTATGAATAGTAGTTAGATGAAGAATCTTTTACAACAAAGTAAAAGATACAAAGTCACAAACAAATTCAATATTTCCAAGTAATAGTAGTTTTGGTATTTCTTTTTTAAAAAAGAAAAGATTGTGAACATAAATATAAAGGAACTTCTTGTCGTGAAAAAGAAATGATAAGACCCATGTGCCAAACTTATGTTAATGCATGAAAATGTGAAGTTTTGCTTGACCCATAATACTTAATTATTTAGTTGTATGTCTCAGTTCACTTTTTTGGGCAGCTCATTCATCATGCAGCCTCTGCACATGGCCATCATTAATCTATGTATTACTCGTAAATTAAGAAATAATATATAAATTTACCATTCTAAATTTGCATTAGAAGGTGACTTTTAATTTCCTCATTACTTGTTAAAAAAGAAATCAAATCGATTTAATTTAATAATAAAAGGAGGTGATTGGAACCTCATTGATTGTTCCAAAGTGAAATTGAGTTTTGCTTTGGAATTGGGTCATTAAAAAGCAAAAACAAGGAAGAATTTATAAGATAATGGCAGCTTTTTCACCCCCTAAACCAAACATTTGCAACAAAGAAAAAGCATCATTATTGAAGTTAAAAAAATTTGAGATTATGGAGCAGAGACACAATGGCTTAATGGAAGAACTTTTTTTTTTCTTTATTTAATTCTTTTCAAAAAAGGATTTTTAAAAAGAGAGAGAGAATATGAATAATGGGAGAGAGATATAGATATTCTTTTTTCTTGTGTGGTATAGGAAACTTTTTCAGTGTCAATAGGTTTCTCTTTTAAAAAATTGTGGTTTCTGGTTATTCTATTCAGTACTCACCACTTTTGGTCCCAAGTTGGTGCTACGAATTATGACACTTCTTACACTCTCATCTCACTTTTTGACTTGTAACATTCTGCCTTTACTTTCTGTTTTTCTTTCTTCTCT